ATGTTCTCTTCTGTTACCTGTGTGTTATTTCAAGCTCCTGCAGGAAATCAGCTCATTTTCCTTTTGCCTGCATTTGATAGTGCTGTGCACATAGTAAGAGTTGCTCAGTAAATGTATGATTAGGCTTTAGGAATTTTGTAAATGTTTTGATGAATCTCACATGCACTGTACCTTTAAGTGATGTTACCTCCAAACATAACTCACTTACCTGTGCTTTCCAGAATGGTAAGTGCTTGTCGAAAAAGCCAGTGGTTTGTACAGTCTGTTGTTGTTTTTTTTTTTAAGAGTTGGGGTGATGCATATATTTACCAATCATAACTTAAATTGGACAATTCTTGGTTGTTTCCGTAGTAATTTTCAAGTTTTTAAAAAAAATAATTGCATTATGCGATGATAGATAATTTTTAAAACAGAGTACATACACTTCAGTCAGTGACTGATTCTTGTGCTTCTGACGGACAGATTAGGGTATCAGCTAAGCTGCCCAAGACAGACCTGCATTTTCTTGCACCCAGATGGCTCCTTGGGACTGTACCCCGTGCATCGGGGAGGGCTGGTGGGTGCAAAGGCCCAGCCCGTGAAAACGGCCTGGCATTTCCTGAAGCCACACGGACCTTGCTGGTCATCTGATCACATCTTAGTTACTGACGCTTGGCCTGCCTGGCTCCTCACCCCCAGATGGGGACTGACTCTGGTTAACCTTTCATCTTTCAGAGGCAAAATCAAGATTGTTGTTGCCAGAAATAAGAAAGTATTAGAAAAGTCCCCGAGGATGTCTGTTTTCTTTGTGTCGGAACGGTTTGTCTCGGGTACCTTGTATCTCTCGCTCCCCTCGCTGATTCATCCTTTATCCGCCAGGCCAAGCATCTGGTCGTCCTTTGTTTTTTATGAGAATACTTGGGAGTGAATTTGATTTTCTTAGGTTGAAAGCTTATGTTTGCTTAAGGAAACCACGTGGGAGGTTTTGAAAACTGCACACTTTCCATTTTCATCATGTTCTACTGGCATGCCCTCTAAAGGAGTGAGGGAGGGTGGTGAAGGGAAGGCACTGGAGATTCTAAAAACTATGCTAGATAGCTACGTCCCTCTGATTATTAAAGGGAACAAGAGCTCAGGACTATGTCGAGTAGGAAGGCAGGACGAAACAAGGCCTGTGGATAGCCCTCTTTATTTGTACAAGTGCAGTATTCACTGTGAATTGGCTGGTCCAAAACATTCCGTGGAGGAGAGAGAGGAGCAGTCCTACTGTGCTGTGGCTTTCAGAGTAGGTGATAAGAGCTGCTTCCGAGGAAGGTCAAGGAATTGCTAAAGGAGATAGTCTTAACTGTGGCGCTAATATGTGTGTGTGTGTGTGTGGGGGGGTGGCGTAATGTCTAAGAACTCATTCTAGGGAGGGAGGGAGGGAGAGAGAACATCAGCGTTGGGCCTGAGTCTTTCTTACTCCGCACCTAACCTGTGCTGCCTTTACACTTGCTAGAAAAACCTAAAATGTTGACATTGTACATATCACAACACCCCAACATTCATTCAGCAAATGTTTGTCTGATCCTTATTAGACATTGGAGACAATGAAAGGAATGAAAATTTGTGTTTTTGCCAGTGGGTATTAGATGGTGATTCTTTTACAAGTTGCCAGCCTCCCCATATATTAACTTATTTCATCACGCCTTCAAGGCACCTGGGGGACATTTCAAGTGATAGAGGTCTTTCTTCCTCCACTTTAGCTTTGAGCCCTTAGGGTGGTCTCCAAGCAAATCTAAAAGATGTGTGAATCTGGTTGGTGACAGCAGGGACAGACTTCGTGGACTCTTACTGATGCGTAGAGCACATTCACACAGAGGCCGCCTGCCTGAGAGGTGGGCTGGCCAGGCTCCCGGGCAGCGTGCAGGCAGCCTGTGTGTTTATTTGCTTAGACAGCATATGTACACATCACACATTCCTTACTCGGCTCAGGACTGAGATTGGATAGCGGAAGTTTGAGGTTCATTTACTGTTCGCTCACCAAATATTTATTTAAAGAAGAAACCTTCAAAGCAGACCTTCTCCAGGACTGACCCTCAGTTCACTGTAGATTGTTTTTCTGTCTTCCCCTTACATGTTCTTGACTTGAGTACTCTCGTCACCTAGTTTTGATCATCTAGCCCACGGTCGTTCCCCCCCCCCCCCGGGGTCTCATGTGCTGCCCTTGGCATCTAGGTCCAGTCCAGGATGAGTGCCACACCCACTCCTCTCAGCAGTGCCACCTCACCTCACATTAGCTGTTGTGTTTTTTTGTTTTTTTTTTAAGAACCTTTGAACATTTTTCTCGTGTTTGGCATAACCCACCCTATTGTGAAGTAATAAGCAAGGGACACACACTTTGGAATAATTGCCCCCCCTTTTTTAAATCACCAGTTTTGACTTGTGTGACAAACTAAGGTCATTTAGTTTGTCATTCACTGACTGTCATGTAAACTGGAATTTTACTACATTCTGAGTGAAGTAACCAGTCGTTTGTAAGGAAATGTTAAAAAAAGGAAATAGAAAATGTCTTAGTATTGAAATTAATATTGAGTTGTACTATATGTAGTTACTGTTTGAATTAATTTGACTTTTTATCAATGGAAAAAATTTCCCCTAGTATTAGAATACATGCTAAAAAAAGAGTTTGAGGGCCGGCCGAGTGGCTCAGTTGGTTAAGAGCTCACTCAAGAGTGGGAGCTCTGAACAACAGCGGTTCGATGCCCGGCCCGAGCTGAGCTGCCGCTGTGCTGCCAACAGGCGGCAGGATGGCTCAGCTGAAAAAAAAAACAAAACAAACAAACAAAAAAAGTTTGACTTACTTTCAAAATTGATTTCTTTTTCCTAAATTGATTGTCATTTACACTGCGGTTCAGAAGGGTGGTTGTGGCCTGACTGAACAGTGTACTGAGACCGCTAGGCTCTGACTTCTCTGGGCTTCTTGTGTGGACTGTCTGTGTAACTGGGCAGGTGAACCCCTCAAACCCGTTTCCTCAGCCCTAAATTGTCATCTCACTTGGGGAGTGAGGTCTAGTGGGGGGAGAGGGAACAGGGCTAGTGGGAACTTGACTGTTTGTTTCATACAATTCTATGCTGCTTGATTTTTTTTTTTTGACTATGAGTTATTTTTGTAATTTATAAAGAAACGTCATACATTAATTTATAAAGAGTGCTGTCGATTAATAGTCTTGTTTTTCTGGAAAGAAGACTAAACATATAAAGTGGAAGTACGAACACCTTCAGGGGTCACAGATTCTCCTGGGGGTTGAGTCAGTCAGCTTTCTTTGGTGTTTCCCTTAGTACTTGAAGCTGGCACTTGCCACGTTGGGTTGGAGTTTGAAAGCAAGTACCAGGCATTGGCTCATGGAATTTATCTTAGATTGTTTTTTTTTTAAGATTTTATTGGGGAATTGGGGAAAGGAAATAGTGTTGGGGAGTTGGGGAAGGGGAACAGCCAAGTTGTTGTCCTTCAGTCTTAGTTGTGGAGGGCGCAGCTAGCTCAGCTCCAAGTCCATTTGCCATCTGGCCACACGTCGGCAGGTTGCAGCAGGTGCCATGTTCAATCTTGGTTGCGGGTGGACATAGCCCACCATCCTATGCGGGAGTCAAACTAGAAACCTTGTTGTTAGGAGCACATGCTCTAACCACTGAGTCATCTGGCCACATGTCAACAGCTCAGGACAGCTGAGCTCAAGGTGCCATGTTCACTCTTACTTGCGGGTGGGCATAGCCCACCATCCCATGTGGGAGTCAAACTGGCAATCTTGTTGTTAGGAGCACATGCTCTCACCAGCTGAGCCATCCTGCCACCTGTTGGCATCTCAGCAGCAGCTCACCTCGGGCACAGCTCACTGGCCCATGTGGGAATTGAACCGGCGACCCTGTTGCTCAGAGCTTGCACTCTTAATCAACCAAGCCACTCGGCCAGCCCCTTAGTTTTTTGTGTTTTTTTTTAAGATTTTTATTGGGAAATTGGGGGAGGGGAACAGACAAGTTGCTTTTGTTGTTCAGTGGAGGACGTCACTTCACTGGCCCATGTTGGTATTATCATTGTTCTCTTCCCGGCTGAGGCAGATCAGTCACCGGCCATTGGACTGCCGCTCCCAGCGGCTCTTGGCAGCTCATACTGGCTGCCAGCCACTCACGATAGCTCACTGCAGCCTACGCCGTCGCTGGTGACTCATGGCAGCCCAGCTCCAGGTTGAGGTGTTGTTCACCATCTTAGCTGTAAAGGGCGCAGTGTCACTGGCTCTCATGTGGGATCTGAACCGGGGCCCTGCTGCTCAGAGCTGGCGTCCCAAGCCAACTCTTAACCAATGCGCCAGTCGGGCGGCCCTAGATTGATTTTTTTTTTTTAACATAACAGTAGGTTGCTTGTTCTTCAACCTGGGCTTAGATTAAAAATGAACCCCAATTTAATATTTTATATTTCTAAATAATTATCTTTCAGAGTACCAATAAAATACTTCTTTATAATAGAAAATTTAAGGCAAACCAAGTTTAAAAAAAAACCAAAACATATTCTTGCCATCCAGAGATAAATAAGTACTGTTAATATTGGAGTATCTTTTCAGTTATTTCTCTGTGGGATTTATATACCATATTTCCCCATGAATAAGATGCACCCTTTTTCAAAAAATTTGGGGTCTAAAACCTGGGTGCGTCTTATACACCTGGTTGTAGGAGCGCCAAAAATAAAACAAACAAGAAAAAAAAACACCAAGCGCGAAAAAAGCAGGAAATGCAAGTAAAAAAAGTCTACAACCACTGTATAAGATACACCCAGTTTTTAGACCCCAAATTTTTCAAAAAAGGGTGTGTCTTATACATGGGGAAATACAGTATGTGAGATCCATAATGGGCTCATATTATACAATTCTATTTTGTTAACTGTCTATCTTCAGTTTGGTCTTGTGCGTGGTGGGCCTGAGGTGCAATTCTAGTGCCCGCAGACTGCTCTGCCCTCAGTGTGGTCACTGGCCTCCTGTCTTGTTTTTCAGTGGACGAATACATCGCCATTGCCAAAGAGAAGCACGGGTACAACATGGAACAGGTATGACGTGGCTTTCTTTTGTGGTTGAACGTGGGTTTTTAGAGCTAACCTGTTACATTTGTTTTGTTCTGCGTGTGGAGTTAGCGGTGTTTCCGCATTAGCAGCTTTTCTGGTGACTCCTAGCAGTGTCATACATCCAAGGCTCCGGTCCCCTTGTCACTGCCTGAGATGAGTGTGAGAGGACCCTTTGATTCAAAAGGCATCTGTGTATTTCTGCAGGTCTGCAGTGTTGAGGGCAGCAGGGCACTAAGGTGCTGGACACTTTCTTATATGAATATGTGATTCGTCATTTTTGTGGTTGTGTGATGTTTTTATCCTGACTCATGTTGTCACACTCAAATCTATAGTGTTTTAATATTGATTGTTTTGAATCACTTTCAGGTTGTAAATTTTGACTAAAGCTTTCTTTTAAAAATTGGTTAGAGCCTATTAATGAGAAGTCCATGAGATTTGTTTTTTTTCCAGGAGTGTGGTATCTTATTTCAGCCTTATTTCTAATTACTATTTTTAAAATAAGCACCTTAAGTTGGACTCATGCTTTCCTTGGCATTGATCTAGATTTTACAGCCTGTAAGTTACTAACACTTCTCATTTATCCTCGTCACTGAGGGTCCCCGTAATTGAGATTATATGGAATTGGACACTTTCTTTCAGCCTTGGTCTTTATTTTTAACTCTTCTACCTTGGTAGAGCTGTTAGAAAAGCCAATTACAATAAGGGTCCCAGGAATTTTCAGGGCAAGAAATGTACGCGTCTCCTTTTCCAGTCCTACTTATGAACTTGACCAAGCTGCCCAGAAAATCATCAATTATTTATTCTATTTAGAAAGTATAAATATTGGGTGAGCAATAAATATACTTGTATGAATTTCTAAGGATGCTAGTCTTCAAAAGTATGATAGTTTTCACTTTAGGGTTGTAATACAAGATGTTTTCTCAGGAAAGTATTCCTGAGTTCCCTCTCTTGTTTCTAATTTGTTGCTCACCCATTTGTATATTTTTTTCCTTTGAGCTGAATTTATGTTGCATTTTTGGGGCGAAAGCATCACGAAGGCTTGAGTGTTGTGATCACTTAGTTCCCCCCTTGGTGTGCAGAGGCTTTAGAGTATGGCCTTGGGGGCACGGAGTCCAGAGCCACGCTGCTTTCGCCCTTACTGGCACTGACGCTGGCAGTCACCTCACTTCCAAGACTCCATGTGCTAATGTGAAAGTGAGGATAGTGGACCGTGTCCCGCTGGGCCTGTGGGATAAATGCAGTAGTGTACAGAAGGGCACATGTCAGTCCGTTCAAGCTGGCTGTTTATTAATTGGGGTGTAAAGAGGTACACACTCTTTGCCAGCCTCCTCGTTTTCATGTTAATGTTGCATTCACATCTTTGGTCTAACATCTTACTGATACTGTTTTTCTAGGCTCTTGGGATGCTCTTTTGGCATAAGCATAATATTGAAAAATCATTGGCTGATTTGCCCAACTTTACCCCCTTCCCAGATGAGTGGACTGTGGAAGATAAAGTCTTGTTTGAGCAAGCCTTTAGTTTTCATGGGAAAACATTTCATAGAATCCAACAAATGGTAAGTAGGGGAGACCTCTGGTGTTTCCCTCCAGCCTCCTCTGCAGTGTACCTGAGGGGAGCGTGTTCTCTCAAGCAAGAGCACTCCCATTTTTAGTAAAGCTCCCTTTAGAAAAAGCAGCTCATTGCTCCTGCTGGGTGGATGACAGGCTTCAGATTACAGTGGTGAGGCGATTCCTTCCTGGCAACTCTCAGCTTGATGGCTGTAACTCAACCCTTCCCCCCACCACCACCCCAGTCTCCCCTGGTGTGACTCCCCAGAAGATTAGACGAACAGAAAGGATCCTTGATGGCTATTTGATGAGGTGGAGCATCATGGGGCCCTGTCTGCCTGGGAAAAGTTTGCTTATTTTTTAGATTCTAGAATGCTTTTTGATGGACGTCTACCGTGAAAGCTTATTGACAGCTATTACATTAGTGCTAAATGAGTTTTTTAAAAATAACCCAGAAGTTATGTGTGTGAAAACTCTGGTTCATCTTTAACTGACTTTACAACTTTACAATCTTTCATGGACTAAGTTTCACTTACAGTGAAACTGCAGTAATTTGAAAATGTATTGATGAGAATTGTTTCATGAATTTTTTTCCTTATTGGAGAAAAAGGGCTGTGACTTAGGACATTTCTAAACATGTGAGAGTGATCCTAATTATGTGTATCTAAACACATTTGATTTTTAAAGGTTAGCTTTAAATCTAAACCAACTCGTTTTTTTCTATTTAGCTTCCTGATAAATCCATAGCAAGTCTGGTGAAATTCTACTACTCGTGGAAGAAGACGAGGACTAAGACCAGCGTGATGGATCGCCACGCCCGCAAGCAGAAGCGCGAGCGGGAGGAGAGGTCAGTAGCCTGGGGCTGCCTCACCATGGAGGAGGATTTCTAAGAGCTGGTGGACACACAAAGGAAAAGTAGAGTGACCGGATTTCCCCCAGTGCTTTCCTGCTAGCACCCGAACTCACTCAGCTAGTCTGCACTAAATGTTCCTGAGCTGTAGGAGTGCCTGTGTCCTATTCTTCAGGCAATTTTCTCACCACTCTTCCTGCAGTCAGTAGACTTACATTTTGAATGAGTGGACTTTCCTCAACAGCCTCTCCTACCCCTGAAGGGGTCTCTTTTGAATAAAAAGGAATCTGTTATTTTCTAGGTTGAAATGTATTTGGTAGCTTGTACAAACTCATTTGATGTGTTTTTGTTTGGTGTGTTCAAAAGATACCAGTACAGTTTAGGTTTCCTCCTTCCCTTTTTGACTGTCTGTTTTGTATTTGTGAATGAGTGAGAGAAACATTTCATGGTTTCTCCTTAAGCGTTAGTTTTAAGGATAGCTCGGTGGGTAAGATGCTCCTTAGTCATCACTTCCTCAGGCTTCCACTTCCTACAGCGCAGTGGAAATGGCTCTGTACTCACACACAGAAGTAGTAGGTTCTAGTCTCCACACTGAAGGTTCTACTCTGTGCACGCGCAGGCGAGTTGCAGTTCAATAGTCTCCTTCCCCAAAGCCCTGTCTCCTCAGCTCTAAAAC